ACCCTAAACCCTAAACCCTATGCTGAACAGCTGCTGTGGCGACCGAGCCCACGGCTTAAACCTCTTCCCTGTAAATGCTCTCAAGGCCCTGAAGGCCCTGTTTAGGGTTTAGGGTTTAGGGTTTAGGGGCATGGCCTTAAATTTCTGAAGCCTGAAGACAGTAAACCCCGTTCGGCATACCGCGGTAGCCCCTAAACCTCCAAGCCCCAAAAGCCTTCAATCCCATGTGCCCCTTCAAAACGCAACAATAAGAAGGATCAATCATTGAAAGAATCCCAAACCCTAGAACATCCCAGAACCTAAACCCTAAACTTTACAGAACTTGATTCTGTACATGCAGGCCCAGGCCCCGGTCTGTTACTAAGCTGAGAACCAGCCTTCGGATGATCTCGGGCAGCGACATCGGAATCCTCCGGCGGGGCATCATACGTAAACTACCGGCAGGCAGGGGGTTCGAGTTTGGGGAAGTTAAGGACTAACAAACACACAAGTTCAGGTCTAGGGTTGGGTTTAGTTTAGGCCGTGTTGAACATCTTGGGGAGGAAGCTTGTAGTTGTCCTTCCCATGTTGGGTTTAGGGTTTAGGGTTTAGGGTTTAGGGGAGCATATGGTCGATTACGGCTGTCGAGGGCTTTAGGCTGCAGGGGCTGTACAATTAGGTAAGCCCCGACACTCAGACGAGCACATACGCTTCGGATTCGGTAGAAACATAAACCCTAAACCCTAAACCCCCAAAAGCCCTAAACCCTAAACCCTAAACCCCCAAAAGCCCTAAACCCTAAACCCTAAACCCCCGAAAAGAAAGGATGGCATAACAACACAACTCTAGCGGCCCATGCCTCGGTCCCCATGAGCCTAAGTACTCGGCCCACAACTCCAAGCTAACAACAACGAGCCTTGGGGTTTAGGCCGGTTTAGGGTTTAGGGTTTAGGGTTTAGGGAGCGAAAACGTCAATCTTGGAGAAAAGACTATCCTACACCCTAACCTACTGGATCACTAAGCTAACAAGGATGACGATGCCACAACAGTCCGAACACTTCGGGTTCGTTTAAGGATTATCGTAAACAAGAACAGTAATAGTAAGTCAGGTTCGTTAATAACTTAATTGAGTGTCCCCTTCATGGTTCTTTCAAAGGGGTTTGTAAACGTTGATGCAAGGGTTGAGTATAGAGGCCTTAACTAGGCTAGATAAAGCTTGAACCCTTGACCCTCAAAGGCAACTCTGCATCCAAAACCGTACATCACGTTTGTAGGTTCTGCTCAGATTCGAGCATAATCCCAGACAAACCTACGGTATAATCTTGAGCATTAGACCTCCCCTTTGTAGGGCTTGGTAGGCCAAGGGCCTTTAAAAGGGTCTTGCAGGGATTGATGACAGGCATGAAGCAAGTGTTCGAATCCTGCTTGAGAGGGGTGGGGGTTTAAAAGTCAGGGTCTAGAATATGCCTCTTGCCTTCAATCCGTGAGGGCTGAGCTTTTGAGGCTCTTCCTTGCTTCGGGTTGGAGATTCAGGGTTTACTCTTAGTAGCTTCTTTAATGCACTAGCTCTTTCTCCCACACGAGGTCACAAGAGCTCACCCAGTTCGAGTGTGCACTGTAAACAAAGACGGCAAAAAGCCCCTCACTGCAGCCAAGCAGTTTAGGGTTTAGGGTTTTCGGAGAATTTAGCTCAGGGCATCGGCTTCCTGCAACCTCTAAGACCAGGTGTCCTGCTGCTGTCATCATCGGCGTCTTTGTCTTTGGAGAACAAAGAAAGTGACCACGTCCCGCCTATCGAGGCGATCCTGGGCACTTTGACGATAATATGACATAGGGCCTATAAGGCCAAAGCTAGGACTCATGGACTAACCCTAATCCTAAACCCTAGGACTCATAGTCTGGATACTTTTCGATTTGTTGCCTGGGGTCGGATTGAACTAAGGGTTTAGGGTTCGACCGACCGGAGACCCCTGCACAGAAGCACCTGTGGTCCAAGAGAATTCCCCTGCAAGCCCTGTCCCACTGGCAGACGACATCGGAGCGCAACCAAGAAACTATTTGGGAAACATCTTTATGGTAGACCCCTCTTTCGAAGACTTCTTGCACGAAGAGTTCGGCTGCACCCTGTCCTTTAAGTAAATGGGCACAGGACTCGGGAGTGACCTTCTGAGACACGGGTTCAAACATATCAAGAGGCTTGTCCCGCAAACTTGGCGGGCTAGGACACGCTGGTGCCGCGGAGCCGGAGCTACTCTGATGGTTCTGCGATGTTGGGCTCGGCGGCTGTTCCTGTCAGGCTTTACACCTTTTCACGGTATGACCCGGCTTGAAACACCGTGCACAGATATGCTTCCTGGTGCAGCCGGCTTTCTGGCAGCCTTCCAGGTTGTGATCATAACACACATCCTCGCCTTGTCTGGTGACCCCTTTGCCACCCAAGTCCTTGATCACTTCGGGCACCGGTGGGCCCGTGGACTTGCCCGCGCCTTTGGCTTTGCCTGAGCCTGTGCGCTGCCACTTGTTGCTCTTGCCCCCGGTGTTCTGCGGAATGCGTCGCTCTGGGTGATGAGGAGTGCCATCGAGACCTCGCAAGAAGTGAGTGCTTTCAGGAGTTCGGAGTCCAAGGGAAAATGTCCTGAAGCATCGTGTCTTGGCTTGATGTCCCACTCCACGAGTTTCTCCCAAACGAGGCGGTCCACTCTCACAACTTGGGTAATTCAACACCGGCTGTGTCCAGGCGGAGGATCGCTGCTCAGTTTTTGGAACCACTGGGTGACTTACAGCTGGTACGACGTGAACGACAAAGTTTGCGCGAAGGCTACGGCCAACCTTCCAACCCGAGACTCGAAGTGCAGATGCTCGAAGCTTACATCGGGTGGTGGCCGCTGATATCGGAACCTCAAGCCTTATGCTAGGATTTAGGGTTTGGGGTTGAGGGTTTAGGGTCTATAGGGTTGGTGGTTAGGGTCTAGGGGGGTGTACATTGGATATCATGCTCTAGTTGTGGCAACACGTACTGCATCAGTCGGAAGTAGGGGGTTCGGGTAAGGAACGGCGTCGTCCTCACATAAACCCGAAACCCTATATTTCCCTAAGACCTACATAATGTGCATGACAAAAGTTGGCTTCAGGATGGGAGGCATTGACTGAGTGTGTTGAGGTTAAGGCTGCAGGGCTTCCCTAAACCCTAAACCCAACGGTTCAGGGTCGATTAGACTTTTCGCTTAAGCTGCTCTCACAATGACCTCGGAATGAAATCAGATGGTCCTGTTTGACTGACAAAGGGGCCTTGATAAGTAGAATAGGGTTAAGGTTGTTTCAAGAATTTAGTATATAGTAACTATGTATTTCAAGCTTCTAAAGTAACCGTGGTGTGGGGCACAGGCTGACAGGCACAGGCTGACAGGGCAGTTCATTCCTACAGTCCTGCATGTGCAAGCCCTTACCGCTAGAGCATCTGGTCACAAAATCCCCCATACCTCCCTTTCTAATCCCTTACCTCAAAACCCAAACCCCTATAAACCCTAAACCCTAAACCCTAAACCCTAAACCCTTTGGGCCCTCCAAGGTACCCAGGTGGGCACAAACTGTGGAGGCACCCTGGGGTTTAGGGTTTAGGGTTTAGGGTTTAGGGTTCTGCATCCTTCCACATTTCGACCAGCCGAGCATCGACCGGTTTTTCTCTTTCAGTTGCTCTTTCTCCTCTGAAATGTATGGGTAGTTTTCTAGACTAGGGTCCCTTTCAGGGTCCTTTTTATAAGGGTGCCGTACTATATTTGGGACCCTAATCTAGGGAACTCCCCATATAGGGTTAAGAGTTCATCAAGGATTTCTGTACAGTATCCAGTCTAGTTGTAGAGGGGTTTTGGGCAATAAGGCAGCCTAACATATGAGTCAGAAGAGCTAGTAGCGGAGCCCCTTACACTCTCACGGGATTAAGATATTAATACAATAGTCGTCTGCCCAGGAGCCCGTTTCTAATTCCGGGGCCGTATATCGGAATCCTTCGGGTAGCCCCTATGGCATTCGGCAAATGAACCTTTAAAGGAACCCATGTCTGAGCCGCCGATGGGACAACGCACATCGCCCCGACCCTAAATCCAACACGGCATCGAACCTGACGCGCCAAAAGAGAATGTAGGAGCCTTCATCGATTAGAATAGAGCTTTGGGCTCCTTGATACTATAGTTATACCATGGAAGATTAAGAGACAATATTGATAAGTATGTAGGCTTCTATAATATTTGTTTAACTGTAGGGTCTCTCGGAGGCCCTCAAGCAGTCGCAGGGTTCTCCTGGTTGTAAGAGGCAGCTGTGACCAAAGGGGTTCAAGACGGATAAGACCCATACCATATATACTATACTATGTTATATTATATTGTGTTATATTATATTATATTTTGTTGTTTATACATATATATATATATGATTGAAGCCTAAAGCGAATACCCTAAACTTGAACCGACCCCCCCCCTGAAACCTTCGATTCTAACCTCCATACCTTATACAACAATGCCATTCGGGGGGTCAACATAACCAGCCTCAAGACAGCTTCAACCAAGCCGACCAAGCCCTTAGGGTGCAAGTGCCGAGTTATCCTGGTAGAGTCTCCTTGAGTAACTTACCCAACTACGACCATCCCAAACCAGAGTTCCCCTCCCCCCTAAACCATACAACCCTAAACCCTACAAAGCTCTTTACCAAACTACTATCCCAAACCAGCGTAAAGCCCCCAACCCTAAACCCTAAACCCTACCAGGCTCTATACCGAATTATTGGGTCCCTTCGGAACCCTAAACCCTAAACCCTAAACCCTAAAACCCTAAAACCCTAAATCGCAAATTAAACCCTAAACGGCCCTAAACCCTAAGACCCTAAAGCCCTAAATCCTAAATTAAACCCTAAACCCAGGGAGGATCCTTCCAGAGAACCCCGGGTCTCCTGTTCATCAACCTTCTTCTGATACTCCTGCAAGGGACCGGAAAAAGGGTGTTTAGGCTTTAGGGTTTAGGGTCTAGGGATCCGAAGGGGGGGGGGGGCTTTGGGGTTTAGTAGAGTTTAGGGTTTTGAAGTTTTTTTTTTGGAGGATTTGGGGTTTAGCTGGGATTTTAGATTAGGGTTTTAGCACTTTCAGGGTTGGGGTTAGGGGTTTAGAGCTAGTAGGTTGTAGTTCCGGGACCCTTCTTCTTCACAACATATAATGAAAGAGGCATTAATAAAACGAACATATTTCCTTGGTGTGCGTCCCAAAGGCCTACATACACTTACTTAAGAACCAGAACCATGAGGTTAGGCCTTGTACTTAGCCTCACCCGCATAGCTATAGATCTCTGAAAGGAGGCCCGTGAAGCTACGCTCCAACTCTCACGGATATAGATCCTTTGAAGGAGCCCCTACCAAAACCCCTGCCCTAACGCCCGAAAGCCCCAAGCCCTCGAGCGTAAACCCTACAGACCGAACTCTAAAGCGTAAGAACCCTTAAAAACTTAAAACCACAAAACCTGATCCCTGAACCCCAAAGGCTAAAGCCTAAAGCCGTAACCACTACAGCCCAAAGACTGAAGCTTAAACACTAAAGCCTACCTAGACCCTCCATCCCTCCTCTGTTTAGCCTAAACCCTAAAGCCCTAAACCAAGCAACTACAGCCAAAGAGCCCGAAACCCTAAACCCTAAAGCCCTCAAACCTTCAAACCTAAAGACAAACACCGAACAAAAACACCCCAAAGCCCTACGCAAAAAAAACAAACAAACAAACACACACACACACAAAAACCCTCCCTAAACCCTGAAAACCCTAAACCCTAAACCCCCAAAGCCCTAAACCCCTATAGCCCCTTTGAGCCCTAAGCCCTAAACCCTGAAGCCCCTTAAACCCTAAACCCTAAACCCTAAACCCTAAGACGCCCCTCTAAGGCCCCACAAGGCGCCTCGGCCAGGTCACTGAGCCGAAGGTGCCACTGGAGAGCCTGGAGCTGGGCCTCACAGGGATTTAGGGTTTAGGGCTTAGGGTTCAGGGTTTGGGGCTTAGGGTTTGCGGTTTAGGATTTGGGATTTAGGGTTTGGGGTTTAGGGCTTAGGGCTTATAGGGTTTGGGGTTTAGGGCGTTTAGGGTTTGGGGCTTAGGGTTTGGGGTTTAGGGTTTGGGGTTTAGGGTTTGGTGTTTAGGGGTTCTGTGTCCGACTTTCGGAGTTTAGGAGTTTGGGGGTTTCGGGTTTAATTAAGGGTTTAGGGGATTCGGGGAGTAGAATTTAGGGTTTGAGGGGATCAGGGTTAAGCGGATTCGGGATTAGGGTTTAGGGTTTAGGGTTTAGGGTTTAGGGTTTAGGGGGAATGGGGGATTAGGGTTTAGGAGATTCGGGTTTAGGGTTTAGGGGAGAATGGCTTTAGGATTTTTGGGTGTAGGATTTGGGATTTAAGTGTTTAGGGCTTTGGGGCTCTCGGGCTTATGGTATAGGATTTAAGGGATTAGGGCCTAGGGTTTAGGAGGTTATATTCAGTGACTTTAGTGTGTAAGAAGCTTTGGGTTCATCTGGATGCTACAGTTTAAAGAACCTAACTTCTTGGGGCTCCTTATCACGATGTCGTTGCATACAGTCACTCCTTACAGTACAATGGTAGGTTCTTCTGGGTGCAGGTATGGCTTAGGGTTCGCACTCTAAGGTTCAGGGCCTGAGGGTTGGGTTTAGGGTTTAGGCAAATCGGGTTTAGATTTATGTGCTTGTTTTGTAAATAAGTATTTGCAAGTGGATGCAGCTAATATGTTGACTGTTTTCTTGTTGAGTGCGTAGTTGTTTTTGTCCACGGATTCTGTTGCGTGTGGGTGTGTGTGTCTGTGTGTCTGTGTGTCTGTGTGTGTGTGCGCGTGTGTGCGCGCTGTGTTTTGTTGACTCTTCCTGCGCATGTTTGTTTGCTTAGGTCTCGTAGCTTTGGCTTTGGCTTGGGGCTTGCCGGTGTGGCGTCTACCTGTGGCCGAAAAGACCTTACCCATTTAGAGTTCCTTGTTGTGGTTTCTATATATATGTATATCCTTAAAAAAGGTAAGTCTTTTGGGCCACAGGTAGGGCTCAGGGTCGCTTGGTACCCTAAACCCTAAACCCTGCTTGGGGCAGGGTTGCTGGGTTCGGTGGTTCCGGTGCCCGAAGAGGTGATACGGGCTTAAGGTCGAGCGTTCTGGGTTAACCCTAAGGGTCCAAAGGACCCAATAACTAGGTACTTAGGTTTCGCATGGCAATTATGCAGATCACTAGTTTGGAGGTGGAGGGTTTGCGACTATCAGGTACCTGGACCCTTAGGGTAAGGGTTTAGTATCGTTTAGGCTTTGCATCGGTTTCGGCTTGGCTTGGGGTTCAGGTTGGGATTGCCAGGAACTCCCGACAAATGACCAATGGACATGTGAGGCTGGGGGGTTAGGGGTTTCGGGTCGCGCACACAAGATCAGGCGCATTGATCAAGAGGAGCAAACAAGCACACCGTCATACTGTAGGGGCCTAAACCCTAAACCCTAAACCCTAAACCCTAAACCCTACTATAATATGGTTTTTGGGGGGGTTCCTTATTGTAACTATAGTATAATTGACTCCAAAACCCTATTCCGACTACTAAGGCTCCCATAATACCTGACATGCCGAATCCTGAACCTCGAAACTAAGCCCAGAACCCCACACTAAAGCCGCAGCCCTGAACCGAATGCCATCCCAATGAAACCCCACCAAATATGATGTAGGAGCCTTAATCATTAGAATAGGGTTTTGGCGGTTTAAAGTATAATGATTGGAAGGAACCCCTGCCCAAAATTTAGTGTAGGTAATTACTAATTATTCTATATTAGGCCCTTCGTCCAAGATCGAACTTCCGAATTCAAACCGGTTTAGCGTTTGGGGTTTATTACGGCTTCGGGCCTCGGGCTCAGGGGTTTAGGGGGTGGGGCCGCTAGGGCTTGCCAGGTGTAGGGCCTTTACAGGTTCGAGGTGTAATATCGGGGCCTTCATCATTAGAAGAGGGTCTGGGGCTCCTGTATAGTATACTTGTAATAAGGAAACCTAAGGAAAAATAACATTGGTAATCATTTCGGCTTCTGTATTAGAGTGCGGAGGGGTCCCCCGGTCGTATTGCAGAACGCGAGATCCCACAACTTGCCAACCTCTAGGGCGGTGAAGATGCCGAGCCAAAATATATAGGGGCCTTACTCATTGGAGCAGGGCGTTTATAAGTGTATATATACATAAACACACATATATATATATATATGATAGTATACTATATCGATATACAAATGTATCGACATACAAGGTTGTACGTGCAAATATACGCTACGCTATACTTATGTATATATTTGTGTGAAAATCTATATATGCTTGCGTACATACACCTTAGTAGTTACAACAAACTTGGCAGCAAAAGATCGCAAGGAATCAAGTTGACTTTTTTTTCGTGGACTATGTTACATCTTTCAAACCCTGGGCTTGCTTCAAGCACTGAGCAGTATCCCTGAGCCCTGAATTGTGTCTGCCTCGCTTTGTCAGGAAAGGACCCTGGCCATAACAGGAGTTATCGGAAAAGGGTACGTAAAATATCAGGGTCTGAGGAAGGACCCCCCCTCTTGTTAAAGGATTTGCAAGAAGGCTCAAAACTCTAACTCCTACACCCCTAAACCCTAAAACCCCAAATCCTAAACCCTGCATAGAAGGCCCAAATTAAGCGCTTCACACTAAACCCTAAGACTCTGGGGTTTTATCGGCCTGTAACTCTGCTGGTGTCAGCAAAGTCCCGGCAACGCAAATCTCGGCATCTGCATTGTCCTTTTCCAGGCTTGAATAGGTTTAGGGTTTAGGGTGGGGAAATACATGTTCCTACACTACCACTAATTCCATTCCTGTGGGTCCGATAGCCTAGACCGCATGTTCAAAGGTGTCATACCAGGGGTTGTACCCACTAGTCTGGGGTCATAACCTACTATAGTTTGTAGGATTCGGTGCCGCAGGTCGGGCCGAAGCCGTTTCCATGATCAACTAGGGGTACGGGTTTCGGGCCTTGGGTGGAGGGGGGGGATTTGCTTGCTGGGCGAATCATGTCAGGACTCACTTCTGAGTACTTTGGCCGTGGGGGAGGGGCATGTCTGAATCTTGTTTGTCTTTTAGGAGGTGCTCCGCTCACTGTGTTCCGCTCACCTGACCTACCGAAACCTACCCTCTGAACTCGACGCCCACTGCCCATGTTGATGCTGAGACCTCACGTACTTCGGCTCTCCGTCTCTCTTCAAGTCTTGCTAAAGGTGCCGTTTGAACCTCAGGCCTTAAGCCTTAAGCCAGAACGTAAGACAACACTCAATCTCCTCACAATCGACATTCAGTCTCCTCAGAGTGCCAAATCCTCCTCAACTCTGACCCCGGAAGTCACGGAGCAACCGCATAAAGAGGTAGTCACTCCTTAAATAGCGTTCAACAAGTTCCTCTGGGTGTTATACTGAAACATATTGTTATGGTGCCCGCAGGAGCGCGAATACATAGTATTCCGACCTTATAAACACCGTTATAACACTCCATCAAACCCTTACGCAACCTTGCAGCAACCACTACTAATACAACGGAAGATCACAATACCTAAACCCTAAACACAGAAGCCTTCCAACGAGAGTCCTTGCTTTTCTGCTTGGCCTTCTTCCCGGCCTCTTCAAGAGGCCATGGAGCAGCATGCACCCCAAAACCCTAAACCCCAAAACCCCTAAATCCCAAACCCCTAAACCCTGAACTCCTAAACCCCTAAAGCCCCAAACCCTAAAACCCTACAAGCCTCAACCGGAAATCGAGTCGGATGATGGGTTCGGGCTGCGGCGTTTGAGGCTTTAGGGTCTGAGGGTTTATGGCTTAAGGGCCCAAGGCTTGAGATTGGGGTTTATAGGGTTTGCGGCTTTGGGGCTTCGGTTTGTTTTTCAAATTGCTTCGGGGTTTAGGGCTTAGGGCTTAAGGGGGTGAGTTGAGGGCAAACTAAAAACCCCTTAAACCTGTGGATCCATTGTAACTCACTACAGCCAGTTGAATATGGTTTATAAGGGGTCTAGGGTTTAGGGGTTTGGAGGGTTAGGGATCAGGGGTGTAGAGGTTTAGGGTTTAGGGTTGCGGCCAAAGGGGAAGCCAGCGGCGGAGCACATCCAGATCTTAAGCGAGACGTAGTACGCGAACCTCTGTCTCCAAAGCTGGAACACATCGGTCTCGTCATGTCTCGTCCGACGCCGAAGGTGGAGGTGGCGGACACCCGAGGCAGGGGATGGCTTCGGAGCAGCCGCTCCAACTGGCGCCTGCTTACCTCGCAAAGTTTCTGGTCCAAGGCAGCTATTTTGGTATGGTACTCTCTTGAGTATATGATTATGAAGCTATTCGGTAGCTTGGACGAAACCCCTAAAGCTGTAAATCTTGGGCACAAGCCCGAAACACCAAGTGCTTAAAAAGGCCGCAGTTCCAAACACTGCCGTCTAGTCTGAAGCAACGCCCCTCAATTTCCGAAGCCGAAACTCCGAATAATGCGACGAAAGAGCCCGTCCTAAAACCCTAAACCCCAATTCCTGAATCCCCAAACCCACAGCCCCTGTACCCGTAAAGGCCTTGCCCTTTTTCGATGAGCTGCGTGCTGGTTTCGGCCTCCGCAACTCGCAGGTTTGCCCTTTCCGGGTGCACAGTCTGGAGTTCATTGCTTTACATTTTGCACGGGCTTTTCTAAACAGGTTTTATTTAGGAGTTTTGGAATATGTGGCCTACTGAACCCTGCACCCTGCTATCGGCTGCAGACCCAGCTGCCAGGCCCGCAAGTTTTTGCTGTATCTTTACCCTAAGGGTCCATGTGCCCAACTATTATCTACTTTGGCCTTACAATAATTCAAAAACTGGTCCAGGGCCTGAGATTGCAGATTTAGGATTCCTGGGTTGGAGGTTCATGGGACTTACTTTGTACAGCTATACGTTCCTTAACTGGGGCTATAAACAGTTATGAGTATAGCTGCCTTAAATACTTATAATTATAACCCAGTAGCTAATAAGTCCCATGAACCTCCAAGTCAGGGCCGTATAATAATTAGAATGGGGTTGAATGGTGTACATTCTCGAATATTTGTAGGGACAAGAAGGGGATGTTATCAATGATTCTTCCGGCCGCTATATTGGGTTTTCATGCTCAGGGTTGGCTTTGAAAGCGTAATGCATGTCTTGCAGCGTAGGAGCAGGGTGGGGCAAGAGCGACAGGACTTCGGTTGCAGGCTTTAGCCTTAAACAAACTGGGTTCCGGCATATTGGATCTATGGGTTTCATAGCACAAGAGCATTGGTTGTTTAGCGCAAATGAAGGCTTTAATTAGCTCCGAGCTCAGCAGACCTACAGGTGGAAAGATCGATAGGCAGTTGCCTCCACAGATAGATGGTTATTATGTAGTTCGAAATACCGATTACAGAGTCGGACGCTGAGAGGAGATGTGCTTTTCACCAATCGCTAGACATGGGTAGATAGATCGATCGACGAGGTTGTGTTCTCCGAATGCATGGGCCGAGACGGTCTCTATCAAGGAAGCCTGGCTTGGGGGGCAGGTTGCTACGCTTTGTAGTACTTAAATGTATTTAATGTATACATGCATGTCATGCCACGCTGTGTCATGTCAAGTCATGGCATGTTGTACGTCAGGTACGAAAACCTAAAAGTCACACATACATGCATGCCTGCGTACGTACAGACACACAGACTTATAAAGACCTACATATACTTGAAGTACATCCATCCATCAATCCATCCATCCATACATATGTACATACACACATACATACATACATACATACATACATACATACATACCTACATACACATACATATACATA